GATGTTGGTGAGGGGCTCTTGATTTAGGGAATTGGATCTGTGCTCCAGTTCCCCGAATTAAGCCTGAATGCCTTCCACATCCCCCCCCCCAGGCGCTGTATAATCCTCCGGGTTTAGCGCTTCCCCCTTGATTATATAATAATAATAATACATTCAGTCTTACACATTATTATTATTATAATCAAGGGGGAAGCGCTAAACCCGTAGGATTATACAGCGCCCAGGGGAGGGGGGATGTGGAAGGCATTCAGGCTTAATTCGGGGAACTGGAGCACAGATCCAGTTCCCTAAATCAAGAGCCCCTCACCAACATCAAGGAACCTTCCATGAGGGGTCAGTCTTACAGATAGAACAGGAAAATTATGTTGGGAGAGCACTCAAGGATTTGGGATAGCTTAGTAGTTATATAGGCAGCTCTCACTCAAGAATTGTTGTTCCATACTCTTCCCAAAGGTCAATCATGGAACTGGACTGCTTCATTTTTCTGTCTGACTGTATGTCTCTCTCTCTTGCCTTATACAGTATAAGACCCTCTCTTAGTTATTAGCTCTCAACCTATCATAATATTATTTAAATTAAAATTTTGTCAAGTCACGCCAAGCTTTACTACTATTACTGTTAGTAGTAACACTATTAGTACTAGTATTAGTACAATTACTATTACTATGCTAATACTTAATTAACCTTTGGTCTCTTATTTGAACTGAGCAGTGATCCTTAGGCATCCAGTGATCCTCTCATCCTGCAGTGACTCTTAGCCCTCCGCCGATCCTCTCAACCTACACCTACAGTGACCCCCGAGGCCCACTGAACCTTCCAGCGTCTCCCCATATCTAGCCACAACCTACGACTCATAGTCTGGGTGGAGAGGCTAAGCCTCTACACAAATACCAACACCTTATATTAGAGAGCTTCTCTGTGAGCAGAGTGATATCTGTATTAGCATACTTATGAAGGGTATATTATTATTATTATTACCGTTATTTTAACGTATTCTCATTATTGGTAAGCTCTACATCAGTAAGGGTCATACAGAGAATGGGGAATGGAGAGGAATCAAATTTGATCCGAGGGGAGGCTTAGTTTCAGTTCTTATCCAGGCACCCATACCCCCCCCTCCCCTTAAAGGGATTCACCCCTTCTCCTTCAAGCAGAAGGGATAGGCGTGTGTGTGTGTGTGTGTGTTGAAGGATGCATGTTCAACCCCCTACCCCCTTCAGTTCAAGGGATGCACTCTGATTCCCTCATCCTCCTCTCCCCTCACCTTCCCTTTCCTCTCCGGCAAGGGCTGTCCACCGGTGCATATTATTTTTCCCAAGGATTGCACGGGGCTGTTTAGTTATATTTCTATATTTGGTGGAAGGTCCATCACCACATATGTGATCTTCATTTATTTAGGGGACAGACTGGTAAACCAGTGAAAAGTCCCGCTGTGTAGTTTTAAAAATACATTGGATAAATACATGAGTGGATGTGGGTTGGACCTGACTAGCTTGTGCTGCTAGGTCTTGTGCCGTGCACCTTCCTTAAGTGGAAGTGACCTGACTAGGTGAATCATTGGTCTAAACCGGGGAGTGACATGGACCTGCCTCGCATGGGTCAGTAGGCCTGCTGCAGTGTTCCTTCTTTCTTATGTTCTTGTATAAACAGAAGTTGTTTACCGAGCAGGTCATCAATGAACTGACATGCGATGTATCTCTTGTTTTCCCCCCGTTTCATCTCGCAAAATTTCACTCTATCTCGAAAAAAATCCTCACGTAATATTATAATTTTTGCGGATGTGCATTCAGATATTAGAGTGAACGAGGATTCTTTCCTTAAATGTTAACCATTTATAATCAATACATTTTGAGATGCATTGTAATGACAAAATAAAATATTAAGTATTATTTACACAATGTTTACAGAGATCGCATTTCTTTGAATGTTTTGGAATCGTTTTATCAATAATATTTTATTTACAGTGTAAATACACCGAGAGATGTGTATTTATGTGTGTGTATATAAACTAAGATTCAGCTGTCAGTGTTTATTCGCTGAGAAATGCGTATCTCAGCATATATACACTGTAAGATGTGTACCTCAGCGTATATAAAGTGATAGACGTCTCTCTCAATGTGTAAAAACTAAGAGACGTTTTTCTTTGTATATACTTAGAGATACGCTTCCTGATGTCTGTATACTGAGAAATGTATTTCTCCATACATACACTGAGTAATACACACCTCTCGGTATATATACACAGTTTATGTTAATCTCTTTACAAAATTTGTATACTTTTTGGTATAATATTTAATAAACTTTATAAATATATAATAAGTATATTGTGTATACTATAGTATATAAGTATATTTTTTAATACAACTACTGACAATTCAGTTTTTAAGAGGTCATCCTCCATAAATAAAAAATATATACAATTAATTTTTAAACAATACATCCACGAAATTCAAAATAAACTTCTAAAACTTTTACTGTACTTTCCAAAGTTTTGTGTTTACATCACTCTTTTAAGCAAAGTTTATGTCAAAGTTCAAAAGTTTCTTTTTCCGCTCGAGAGAGAGAGAGAGAGAGAGAGAGAGAGAGAGAGAGAGAGAGAGAGAGAGAGAGAGAGAGAGAGAGAGAGAGAGAGAGAGAGAGAGAGAGGTTTTTCCCCTTGACCCCTGGCTGTGTGGGCGTGGCTAGTACGCTTTCCCCTCCCAGACCCTCATTGGGGAGGGGAGCTTGAGGGAAGGGATGGCTGATGTTGGGGAGTGGGCTGGGAAGGGAACGAAGAGGTTTAGGAGTTGAGGAGGAGGAAGGGTACATTGGGGATGAGTAGTGCATTGGTGGGGGAAGAGCGGAGGGGTTAGGGAGGAGTGGCAAGGGAGGAGGGGGAAAGGGAGGGGAAATGGAGGCAGAATGTGTTTGGAAGAGGCATCAAATAGAGTGGGAGGGGTGATGAGAGGAAGGGATTCAAGAAAATAGAAAGGAATAGTGTTGAGAAGAGTGAAGGGAAATAGGAAACAGTGAGAGAGAGAGAGAGAGAGAGAGAGAGAGAGAGAGAGAGAGAGAGAGAGAGAGAGAGAGAGGCCTGACCAGAGGTGATAGCAGTAGTCCCCCTCGACCGGAATGACCAGCTTCCCTTGTCCACGTCCGCCTCCGTCCGCCTGCCTGCAGGGCCATATCGTACGAAGTTTTTTTTTTTTATTTTGGGACATTTTAGGATGTTGTAGAATGATTCAGAATTAGCCGAGTTAGTGAGTTATGGTGGGTTTCAGGCTTTTAGTGGCTTGTGCCTGGGTTATACATGTAAAAGATTCTCTTTGTGGTATTATAACTGATTTCATTATAAAGAGGTGTGTTGATGTGCGAATTGTCGAGAGTTTACGACGACTTTGTAAATGTGACTCTGTAAATGGTCCAAGTCGGAACGTAACGTCGTCGTGGGAGGGTTGTTTGTGTATTGTGTAGAGTTTATTGTAAACAGTATTACAGGGAACATTTTAGGGAATGTTGTAGGGAATAATAGCAAGGAATATTGAAAGGAATAAGACAAGGAATACTGCAAAGAATATCACAGCAATAGGTATAAAGTTTTAAGTAAAACGAACTTTTACCTTGACAACGTTTCACTTTATGTAGAGCTGTATCATGACTTCGTACAGCTCTTTCCTGAGCGAAACGTAGTCGTACAAGAAGCTTGCTTTTGTAAAAAAAAAAATGAGGAATTTCACGACGATTGCCTCACACACGTTCAAGAAACGTCAATTCGACAAAGACTTATTTTAAAATTCGAGTCAAATAGACTTAATTTCATTTCAAATAAATTTTCACTATTGGAAATTGCCCAAACAACTTTTGGTGCAGTTCCTGGACCCATTAGATGCCTCTATAATTTTTTGGATCACCTGCAGGTGGAAAATTTTATATAGATATTTCCATTTTTATATTAATTAAAACGATATCAGATCAGAAAAAAACACATGTTCAAACAATGGAAAAAAAAAGAGAGGAAGACAAATAGACAAAACCAGTTAGACAGACACGAAGGTCTAGAAAGAATGACAGACATACAGATACAGGTCAGATAGACAGGATACATAAACGTAAGAAATGTTTCTGAGTTCGCAGAGGCGAGACGAGAAAGAATTTAATTAAAGACTAAGTTTCTTGTTCCTGCTGCGTGTCTTTGTTTGTGTTCTTGTAAGGGGAGTGTAATGGGCCCTTGGGGGGGTGTTCTTGTGGCGGGGGGGGGGAGGGGTGGGGAGGAAGGGTCTTGCTCTCTCTCTGTCTCTGTCTCACTGAGTTCCTTCTAAGACGCTTGAGAAGATGGTTTCACCTGATTCCTTCGTAGGAAGGTTTGATTGCTGTTTGTGTGTGGGGTGTGTGTGTGTGTGTATGTGTGTTATGTGTGTGTGTATGTATGTGTGTGTGTGTGTGTGTATGTTGTGTGTGTGTGTGTGTATGTGTGTATGTATGTGTGTGTGTGTGTGATGTGTGTGTGTGTGGTATGTGTGTATGTGTGTGTGTGTGGTGGGGTATATGTGTGGTGTGTGTTAACACACACACTATGTATGCATGTTTTCTCTCTCTCTCTCCTCTCTCTCTCTCTCTTCTCTCTCTCTCTCTCTCTCTCTCTCTCTCCTCCCCTCTCCTTTTACTTTCATAAGCTCTCACTCTCCCTCAAGATCCCTCTTCCTTCACCCTACCTCAGTTACTTCTTAAAAACCTACTTATATACTTCCAACACCTCTCTTCTCTCACCAGTTTTCCTCTCCCTCCTTCCCTCTCTCCTTTCTCTCCCTCCCATCTTCCATCCTTTGCACCTTCGCAACTGCACTCAAGCTTCCTAACCACCGAGACTTCCAGTTAAGTTTTTTCCTTCTTTGTCACTCTAAGAAAGTTTTCAATATTTAATTGCCTCAACTTTGTCTTAAATATTAATGACTTGTCAATTTGTTGAGAATAAACATCTTCACTGAAATGTTAATATTCAACATCTTATTAATGACTTTCAGAAGCTTAAACATTCGTATCGTCTACAACAAATACACAAATTGGAGGTGAATCTTCAGACAACTTTCGGGTCCATTCTGGACCATCCTAGAGCCACGATGTTTAGGGAGGACCACAACATCGTGAGACTGATCTCCCAAGAGTAAGTTAATTGTGAAATGTTCCAGCCACAGTATTATGGGTTAGTTCTGAATTGTTCCAGTTATGGTATTGTGGGTTAGTTGTGAATTGTTCCAGCCACGGTATAATGGGTAAAGAGTGAATTGCTCTAGCCACGGTATTATGGGTTAGTTGTGAATTGTTCCAACTACTGCATTGAGGGTTGGTTGTTAATTGTTCCAGCACTGGTACTGTTTGTTAATAGTGAATTGTTCTAGCCACAGTATTATAGGTTAGTTGTAAATTGTTCTAACCATTGCACTGAGGGTTGTGCATTGTTCCAGCCACGGTAAGCTGTGAATTGTTCCAGTCATGGTGTTATTGGTTAGTTCTGAACTTTACCAGCCTCGGTAGTGCCTCTTTTATTCTCCATATTCTCCGGGAGTAGGAACAGATACGTAAAAGCAATTGATGGTCATTTTCATTACATTCTTATTCTTGTCAGGCCATAAGAAGGACGACAAGAACTGGGGTAGGATCAAATATTTGAAGGGTTGTGGGTAAACAAGACAGGAGAGACGTATGTCAGATGATCAGACCAGCTTTGTGTGTGTATATATAATATATATATAAAATATATATATATATATATATATATATATATTATATATATATATAATATATATATTTTCAACAAGTCGGCCGTCTCCCACCGAGGCAGGGTGACCCAAAAATGAAAGAAAATCCCGGAAAAGAAAACACTTTCATCATCATTCAACACTTTCACCACACTCACACATTATCACTGCTTTTGCAGAGGTGCTCAGAATACAACAGTTTAGAAGCATATACGTATAAAGATACACAACATATCCAAACTGCCAATATCCCAAACCCCTCCTTTAAAGTGCAGGCATTGTACTTAAAATATATATATATTATATATATATATATATAATAATATATATATATATATATATATATATATGCAATAAGATCACAGTAAACAGGTGATTTCAGAATATGCAAAACAACCACTATGAAAGAATAGAGAAATTCCAAGCGCTTTCGTGACTACTCACATTATCAAGGAACTATGAAAGTAAAGCATCCAAGGAAGGTATATAAGGGGTCTGGCCAACACCTCATTATCAGATCCCACAACAGTTAAACACCTGACGCGCGCCGGCCCAACTGGACAGGTCCTTTGCACAACCCACCAACAAACTATTCTACCCAAGAAAATTTTAAAAATTATTTGTCCAGTGTATTATTAAATTCTTCCCAAATTCTATTAATTATAAATGGATCTAATTTATATAAACCAAAGGAAATATTCATATTATTGTCAAAACTGCTTTTTATGAAACAAGATTCAATTATATTCTTGTCGACCATGGACTTGCTTGATACTACTTTTTCAACTTTTTGAAAATCAATTGGATGGTTAAAATCTCTTACATGAATAAATAGAGCATTGGAATCTTGTCCAGTTCTAATGCTGTATTTATGTTGTTTTAATCTTAGTTCGAGATTTTTACTAGTTTGACCGTAATAAACTTTATCGCAAATTTTACAAGGAATCTTATAGACACATCCATCAGCATTTTGGGGGGAATTCTTTATCAAAAGTTTTTTTACTGTATCAAGATTTTTGAATACAACTTTAATATTAAAAGTCTTAAGAAGAGAAGGCATATCAATCAAGTTTTCATGGTAAGGGAGGACCAACATATTTTTAGTTGAATAAGGCTGGTTGTCCCTTTTTGGATTGTAAAAAGTATTTCTAGCAACTTTAAAAGATTTATCAATTACATTTCTTGGGAATTTTAAATCATTACCTATTTCATAAATTTTGGATATTTCCTCATCTATGAACTTTACGAATTTGTAGTCCTGAGTTCATAGATGAGGAAATATCCAAAATTTATGAAATAGGTAATGATTTAAAATACCCAAGAAATGTAATTGATAAATCTTTTATATTATTTTATATATATTTTATATATATTTATATTATATATATATATTATATATATATTATATAATATATTATATATATATATATATTAGAGGGAGGTACAACCTCTAGAACTTTACTGGGGACCCTCATCCACAGAGAAGACAAACGTACCTCAGGGAGAGCTCAAAGTTCTCCCTGGAGCTGTTTGAATATTTTCCTCTCATACCATCCCCTATATTTTATGTTACATGTGAACTTTATTAATAGACAGAATACACTGATAGAAAACACAAACATGAATACATTGGTACAATATATCAAAGATTATGAATCTCTTCCAGCTCCTCCGAAGCCAGACACGAGCCCAATATGCAGCATGTATTTCCCCTCTGGATGGCCACGCTGAGGCGCTCGAACGTGAAAGTGGCTGCTATTGGGTCCCTGGTGGGGTCGATGAGTCTGGAACCCAGTTCTTTAAGGAAACGTGTGGTATTTTTTCCCCATGATCCCAAGGTCAAATTGGCTTATGTCCCTGTACTTGCTGATCTGGTACTCCTCCCTGTCGCCTGACACTGTGATAGATATAGGTGTCAGCCAGTGTGGACACACAGGTATAGTCCCATGCTAAGAGCTTGCCATTCTTCCAAGGGTAGAAGGAGTCCCTTCGGGGTGGTTTGCTGGGTTGTGGGTATTGTTGGCTCCTAGTGATCGAGACTCCCTCTCGGCTGGGCATCCAGCTGTAGCTGGATTGACCTCATTGTGTCTTGCATGCCAGCCCTTGGTTTTGGAACAGTTAAGACCATGTAGACCACATTGGTCGGCATGCACATCGCCGCAAATACACGTATATTTCATGTGAATTTGGGCAGCAAGGTGCAAAGCCACTGCAATACGGAAGGTCTTAGGGTCGAGGCGCGTTCCCGTTGCTGAAATGGGAACTGTTTGGAGGAAGTCCCCGGAGTGATGTGTGCTCGCAGCTTGGAGTAGGGTCTTTAAGGCTGTATGTAACCTGTTCACCACCAGTTAAGGCCACTTTTACTACTAAAATAAGAACTAGATAAAAACTTTCAGTATATATATCCTGAAAGGTGCACACCACTCAGTGTATATACCACTAATAAAATAATAGAAGCGACGATATTAATAAGAGTTAGCAATAAACAGCATAAACTACGTTTATAAGAACAACGGAATAACAGCAATAACCGTCAACATTGCGGAGTCACTTTTCAGTAAAATTACAAAAATAGAATTATAATCAACAAATAAAAAAAAATTCAACAACAAAAAAAAAAAAACGAATAAAAACAGAAATATTAGTTCGTCCCTTCAGTATTGTAAATTAATTATTCAATGAATAAATTTCCCCATAAATGCGTATAACTTATACACGGCTCTTCATTGAGTCCCCCGGATAGGGCATCTGTAAGTGGTGGCCGGATCTCTTCTTCCAGTAAGGTTCTCGTTCAGTTCTATGGTCTGGGACTTTCAGTTCTATGGTCTGGGACGTTCCAGACCATGGAGCCGAACTTTTCTACAGGCTGAGGGACTGACCACCTCAAATACTTTTTCACCATGGCCGATAGACTGATTATATCATAGTTATTCCGCCACTACATCTGCTGCCTCTGTATTTGACTGAAGAAGCCTACTGTGTAGGCGAAACGTTTCAACAATAAAGATACCCAACTGCTGCATATGTGCTTTCGTTTATAACTTAGAAAAACGTATTCTGATCAGCTTCAAGTTTTAAACGCTGGCGCACTGTAATTAGAGAAATAATAATAATAATAATAATAATAATAATAATAATAATAATAATAATAATAATTATAATGATAATTATTATTATTATCATCATCATCAATATTTACAAATAAATATTACTCTGGGTTTACATCTGTCCATGTTGTTTTATGATCTTTAACTCCTTATATCTCCCTTCTTCTATCTTCTTTCCTATTATATATTTTTTTCATCCCCTCACCATCTCCTAGTTAATCCTCGTTGCTATGCCTTACCCCTAGTTTATGCCAATTGCTAATTTTTCATTCTTCGCTTCTACTTTTTGCATCTTACTCTCCCTTCACTCCTTATTTTTCTATCCTCCTGTACTTTTCTCTCTCCATTTCTTCCATTACTCTTCACGATCCTCTCCCTATTTATTTTTCTTATTCCGTTTTTTTCTCTAACTTCTGCTCTTTCATCCCATTATACTCTCTCTCTCTTTCTCTCTCTACATTTTTCTCACCTTTCTTCAAGTAAAGGGTTCCTAACTTTATTGACAAGCTAAGAGTTGTTACCTACATCAGCTTATTCGAAAGCATTTTATTGTTATGAGACATACAAGTAGGGAACAGGATGAAGTTGGAGCCATCTGTGGGCCAGCGTTTTCATCTGATCAACTGACTATCTTGCTGACATCATAATGCTGTACGAATGTGTTCCATACTCGATTTCACCAGTGACTGATGCAAGGGGCACCAGTGGATGATGCAACGGAGCACAGTGACTGATTCAAGGGCATAGGCACCAGTGATTGAGCAAGGACAAGCACCAGTGACTGATTGCAAGGGTGAGCACCAGTGGCTGGATGCAGGGGAGCACCAGTGACTGATTGAGGGAGCAGCACAGTGACTGATGCAGGGGAGCACCAGGTGAATGATGCAGGGGAGGCACCAGTGACTGATGCAAGGGGGCACCAGTGATGATACAAGGGAGCAACAAATGATGATGAAGGGAGCACCAGTGACTGATGCAGGGCAGCCTCCAGTGACTGATGCAAGGGGAGCACCGTCAATGATCCAAGGAGCCACCAATGACTGATGCAAGGGAGCACAGTGACTGATGCAGGGGAGCACCAGTGACTGATGCAAGGGAAGAACCAGTTCACTCGAGCAAGGGGAGCAACTGTCACTGATGCAAGGTGAGCACCAGTCCACTGATGCAAGGCACCCGCACCAGTGATGATGGCAAGGTCAGCACCAGTGGACTGTATGCAGGGGAGCTACCCAGTCACTGATGCAAGGGAAGCACCACGTCACTGATGAAAGGGAGCACCCAGTCATGATGGAAGGGAG